TCCAGGTACTTGATAAATGCTCACAAGATCCATTAGAGGACAAGACCTTTGGGCACGGGTTGGGGGTGCAGGGCACATCAAGCTCTTGATTGCTCACAGGATATACTTACTGAAGTCAAGGCTTTTAGGAAGGAGGCACACAGCAGGCGCCCAATAACTGCTCCCTGTATGGATCTAGAAGGTCTGGGTGGGGGGAGGGGGGAGGCAAGGGCGGGGCACACATGAAGCGCTTCGCATAATAATTTAAAGGAAAAGGGTTTGGGCTAGGGGGCCAAGGCACAGGGCACACAAGCGGCGCTCGATAATTGCTCATGATGGAATGATCTGGGGACCCAGAACCGTGGGGGGACGTCCGCAGCAGTGGCTTACCAGTCGGTGTGGGGCTCGTCGATTACCAGCAGCACCCTGGCGGCAGCGCCCCCACGGCCTGCGACCCCAGAGCCGCCGCCCACTTGCTCGCTGAAGGTGGCGGCCGCGGCCGCCGTGGTCTGCTTGACCGCATTGGACAGCGACGAGAAGAAGCCACCGCCCCCAGAGGACCCGGGGCTAGGGGCAGCCGGAGAGGCCACGGGGGCTGCCGATGAGGCCCTCTCAGCAGTGGCGGTCGCAGGACCGGGCGTGGCTCCTGGGCTGGGGGCAGCGGGCGGCGGCGGGGGAGGCTGCGGGCGCTGCAGGTCTGTCATGTACCCATTTGGCAGATTGGCCATGAAGTTGCTGTCCGACAGGCGGCGCCGCAGGTAGTTCATGGCTGCGACGCGGGGCAGGGGGTCCTAGGAGCAGTCTGGTCAGGACCGCGGGGGCGGACCGCGCGGGGCCCAGGAGCACAGCTGTGCTCTCAGGCACGACGCGACTCTTCCGCTGCCCGCTGCAGACTGAGGCAGCGCTGAGTCGCCGCCGCCGCCGCAGCGCGGATGGTCGCGCCTGTGACCCCCTCTTTCGCGCCCCGCGTGGTGCAGTCCGGCTGGGCCGGTGGCGGCGCGGACGCGACCAAGGCGACTGGGAAGGGGAGTTTGCGGAGGAGCGGCGAGTGACGTCAGCGCGCCTTCAGGGCTGGGGTGGCGGTGGCGCGCGCCGGCAGGCGGGGGCGAAGGCACTGTCCGTGGTGCTGAAGGCGTCATTGCGCAAGCGCCACGCCGCATCCTGTCTCCCCTCCCCCGCCTCCGATTGGGGATGCGCAATTTGGGGAGTGGGGGCGGGGTGGGTGTTTGTCCGGAGGGTCCGGGTGGGTGCGTCAGGCAAGCCCCCACCCCGCCTCATCCTGGTCTTCACACGCACTCGCACTCACACACAGGACCCTCCGCAGATACTCGGTTTCCAGTGTTGATATTCACCACAGGAGGCATTTGGCGGGGTGGGAACACCCGGAGACTCAAAAGTAGAGAAATAACCCCCTCACGGCGAGGGTTGGGGGGTCACATGCAGTACTCCACGAGATCAGTTTCCCACGTCCACATAGGCTCAGCTAGGCAGAGAGATGCATGCGGGGGTGGTGTAGACAGCATCAGACAGGGGGACGTGGACACTTGTGGGGAGTACATACCCTTGCGCTGGGCGGGGAGCTGGAGGCACACAGGGAATGCCACATATGTGGAGAAACACAGACACACACAAAAGTAAGGAAACATACGGAGGCATGTGCAGAGAGAGAACACACCGATCTAGGTATCTATACAGACATACATAAGCCCGGGGTAACAGTCATGGACATGCATGCATACATGCATGCAAATACGCCTACACACGCACACAGGCACCACTCGGACACACGGAGACCCAGGGAAACTCACATGAGCATGCACACAGAGACAAAACACACCCACAGACAATCAGGGACAAACCTAGATCACCACACAGACACATTTCCTGAAGCTCTAGCCTTGATGTGTGTTCACCTCCCCACCTCACCCCCCTACACACACACTTGGCCTATAGGTCCCCATCCATTTGCCCTGGACACAGTCAAAAACCACGATAATAACCATCTGGCATTGTCAGTGCCCAAGGCCATCTTCCTCTGCACCAGAGAACTTTCCACAGACAGAGGCAGACCCATCCTGGGGTATGCAAACTGTAGGTGCCAAATAGTGTTTGCCACGTGAGCAAATGATCCTTGTAGGTTGGGCAGAGGTGGGCTGTGGAAGCTCCTGTAAGATCCTGACTACAATGAAAACACAAATCCATTTAAAAATAATCATTTGTTGACCAATTGTACCCAACCCTCACTACAATACTATGCGGCGGGTAATATGATTTCCATTTTACAGATGGAATCCACGAACTCCAATTCATTCCCAAAGGGTCATGCTCACTTTGTGATCCATACATTTGCTTTTTTCTTTTAAGAATGTGCCAGAAAGAGGTGTCAGTGTGGCTGGAACAAAGTGAGTGAGGGAGATTGTGGCAGGAGTTGGGGTCAGAGAGGTTAGCAGGGACCAGATGGAGCAGGGCCTTGTGGGCCATGGTGAGCGATAATGGTGGTCCAAGTGAGGTGGAAGAAGATATGGCAAGAAGTAGGCAGATTTAGAGTCCCTTGTGCCATCAGGATTTTCAAGTGAATCATCCACTTATTCATTTATACATTCTTCATTCATTAAATCTTTGGCCTGTTTAAACAAGGTCATGGTGTGTGGTCTGGAGTCAGAGAGCCTGGGTTCAAACTGGGCCTCCACTATACTCTTAAGAAAGTAACTTACTGGCCTCTGAAACTTGGCTTCCTCATCTGTAAAAATGATCACCCGACCCAACTCTAAGAGGGTGGGGGTGGGGGAGTGCTGTGACCTCTTCCAGGGATGTCCTTTCCTTCTCTCTCTCAAGGATCATCTTTGGCCTAGGTCTCCAGGAAGTCCCCTCTTCCCTTAGGCTCTCACAGTCCACTATCTCTGTTCCCTCCTCCATCGCAGCCAGCTTCAGTCCACCTGAAGGCCTCTGCTTTGGCCATTCCTTCCCCCTCTCATGGATACCCTCTCTGGCATCCCATATCCCAGTGTTCCCCAAATGGGGAGCTCTCCAGGAATTGGGTATCTCCCAACATTTTGAAGTATGTGTTCCCCAGTTTTTGCTCAGTAACACAAGCAAACAAGCTCTGCTGGGCCCGTGGTGCCCTCTCTGGGGGATGGGAGCAGCTGCAGGTCTACAGATCTTTCTGGCTCCTCTGGGAGTGAGAAGTTGGGCTCCTTAGGAATCTGTCTCCAGTCTGCCTCTTCCCAGTAGCCCCATTGCCAGGTTCCTAGTACTCATGTCCCCCAGTGTCATTCCCTTTCTCCAGGTGGCTCATTTTCCAGAAATTAATTTTTTTTGTAGACTGTTTCGCAGAAGAACGAAGATTCCCCCGACCCCCACCCAAGGAGTGTCTCAACTCCCTGAGGCAGAGGTAAGGCTCCTCTGTACTGGCTTCATTTTCTCCAACAGGAAGGCACATACAGAAGGGGCTCCAAGAATGTTCTTCTTTGTTGTGCATTGGTGAGCAATGACTCTGAAACACACACTCTTGACATATGTTCGTAATCAGTATTGTACCCATGTTTATAACTCACACATACATATTCATGCCACTTTAATGAGCATGCACACACACCCACACTCCTATAACTTACACATTGTTATGTGCACACGGCTGTAACTTCACACGCACTCCACATACACTCAATACATCCTTAATTCCTGCACAGACCCATAGGTCTGCATATCACACATTCACAGAGATATGTGCCTCACAACGCACACATAGAGCCAAATTTCCACTTTCTTATAAACACATATTTTTCCCATACCCTGGCAGTAGCACCGGAACCCCTCACTTAGGCTCATTCCTTCCAAGATAACCGAATATCCATCGATTTCATCTTCACCCCAGTCCATCAGTTGACCCATTTTAGACTCTGGGTGTCACAGATTTCCCATCTGAAGCCTCCCACACAGAGGTGCCCCTCCACTCACAGGACAAAGTCCTAAACTCTGCTCCTGACATGGTGTTTCAAAAACGTCCAGCCCACTACCTATCTGTGCCTGTTTCCTCCTTGGTAAAATGAGGATAATAATATTGACCTCATATGTTCATTGTGGATTAAATGAATTCATGCTATGGAAAGTCTTAAAACACTACCAGGCACACAGCCTGGGTTTGTTCCCTTCACTGTGGAGACACATACGGCTCTGACTCTTCTTCCCCATCCCCCATGATGTCCAGCGCTATTGTTAGTATACAGTAGGCGTTGGTAAGTGTTGAATAAAATGTTCGAATGAAAGGATCACCCATTCTAGTCTGTTCCCTTGCTTAGATGTCCTCCCCTTCTACCAGCCCTCCTCCACCCGATGCCCAGACTTAGCTCTAGTATACAGTAGATGCTAATAAGTGTTGAATGAATGAACAAATGCTAAAGGAATGTGTCTGAGTGTCTTGGGGGGCTCCTCCTGGCAGATGCTGACTCTAGCTTCTCTTTGCCCCTGTCCCGGCTCAAAGCACCTCGTAGGCAGTTCCTCGGTCCGCCCCCCCCCGCCTCGCGGGAGCTATTTGTCGCCGCTAATTGCAGTGTTGGAGCTGGGCTGTTGGGAGTGGGTAGGTGCAGGTGTTCGCTCAGCTGGGCGCCAACCCCTGCCAGGCCTCATCGCCGAATGACGCGCAATCCGCCAGCGGAGGGAGCTTTAAGAGCGGGGAGATGGAAAACAAGCACTCCGACCAATCAGAAAGTGCCTGCCAGGGAGGGTAGCCAATCAGGAAGCCCGTAATTCGTAAATCAGGACTCTGCAGAGGGACGTGCTGGGTGACCCAGGGCACTGCGGGGCAGAGGGGCAGATATCAGGGCTACAGCAGGAACGGACACTCGCCTTCCCTCCTGTCACACCGTGGCCACGGTGGAAAATACTGTTTTCCACCACAGGCCACTGCGACTTTGCCTGTGCTGCGGTCTTTGGCCTAGAAGATGCCATGGCCCCACTCCTGGGAAAGAGCCTGGTTTATTGAAGTCTGAGAGGTCAGGGGGTCAGAGTGGAAGAGAGAGATGTTAGAGCTTCTCATCCTCAGGGTTCTTCGCAGGGAGGCACGTGTAGACATGGCCGTTTCTCCTCCACCACCACCTTCTGCCCTTGCAGCACATCGCACAATGCCGACGGTTTCCCCCAGAAGGTCACATTCTTCTCACCCTGACCTTCGACCATGGTAACGGTGGGCCTGGTGCGTTAGGGGTGGGGGATGAAGGCGAGAAGCTCAGGGAAGGCAAGAATGCATTCAACAAACTCTTATTGAGTGCCTACTGTGTGCCCAACACTATTTTTAAGCTGTGAGATATTGGGCAATTTCTTTATCTCCCCTGTACCCCAGTTTTCTTCATCTGAAAAATGGGAATACTAGTAACACCCACCTCACTGGGCTGAGTAAGGATAAATGAGTTGATTCAGGTAAAGTGCTCAGAATCATGTCAGGTACACAATAAGTGCTCAATAAATGCTGGTAATTATTTGTTGATATGAGCTACCTTCTCTCACCTCTAAAACCTTTTATTTATTTCCCCATTGCCCACTGGAAAAAACCCAAATGCCTTGCCCTGGCATTCAAGCCTTGTTGTTAGGCACAAATCCCTGCCCCCAAGTCAATCTCTAGTTCTCTCTTCCACTTTATTCAAAGCCGCATGTCCAAAATGGTCTTTGCCTGGGTTATCTGTCCCACTAGGCAAGCTCTCCGCTCACTCCCATTCCGATTCTCTCAATCAGTCCTTTCTCCATTCATTCCCTCCCTCTGTCAAGCCCTTCATGCCTCCATTCAACACCCCTAACTCATCTCCTGGACCCACTCTACACCCCACACCCAGAGACCAGATGGCAGGCTTTCCATGAGTTGGGAAGAGGCCACTCAATCTAGTAGTTTGATGCATGTGGAAATAAGGAAGGGATAAGTGAGTGTTTTAACCCTCTCCAACACCTGGGTCACCCTGGCCACCTGGAAACACTTCGGGCGGCTGATCACCTGTGTCCAGGACTCTGCTCACACAGTTTTGATGGTGGGAAAGCCTTCCCCAACCCCCTCCTGCCAGGGGAGGCCCAATCAGCTTCCTGGACCCAGACTGAGGTGGCAGTCCCTTTTCCACACACCAACCATTTCTCAGATGCCTTCTGTCAGGGCCCAGCAGACCTGGATCCCGTGGGGGAATCCATGGGATCTGGGTTCTGTGTGTCTGCAACTGTTGTTCCCAAAAAGGTCTTAGAGTGCTTTGGGGCACGGGTGACTGAGGGAATGAGAAAGTGAATGGAGGCATGAGTGACTGAACGAGCAAGTCAAAGCTTGGGTAATTGAGGGGGCAGAGCACATGGACACAGGAAGGACGGAGTGAATGGGAGAATGGCTGAGTGACTGAATGAGTCACTGAAGGGCACGGAGGCTACTGATTCTCCCCTCAACAACCTCTTTCTCAGCTTCTTCTTTAGTTTCTCCCCTCTTCCTACAGCTGGGAGGTGGCACTCGGCCAGACAGGCACCACCACCCAGTGGTGGAAGCCCTGGTTGGGGGTGGCCAACTCTCCCACCCTGACTGCTGACATATCAATATCAAGACCCCTTCCAAGGCACACTGCCCCCTCACTCACGAGAATTTGGGGAGCATGGCCTTGCAGAGGCGCTGGCGGGTGCGGTTGGGGTTGGGTCCACACGGAGGCATGCACAGCCCCCAGGTACTCCACTCCGACCAGGAGCCTTTCCCTGCCAGGAGGGGAGGGGTTCCCGAGTCAGAATTAGAGGTCTTGGTGGGGTGATGAGAGAGAGGCTGCAGGGACATGCGGTCTGCGGCAGAGAGTCAGAAAGCCCCTGTCCCTGCACGGGCTGCCGCACGCTCACAGCATGGTCTCTGGGGGCACTCACAGAGGCAGCGCTGGATGTTGTAGCAGTGCCGGATGTCCTGTTGTTCCCCCCTACATCGCTGTCCGTCAAACTTGCGGCCCTTGCAGAGCCTGGAGCGGGTCTGCTGGCCTGGGATCTCCTGGCAGCTGATGTGTTTTATGCTCCGGCGGATGCAGGTGCTCCACTCCCCCCAGAGGTCCCACTCTCCGTTCACTGCAGAGACAGGGGCAGCTGGGCTTGCACCAAAGAAAGGAGCCAGAAAGGGGGTTCAGAGGAAGGAATGGGGGCTGGGAGACGGGGTGGGAATGATCAGATGTGGGAAAGAGGGATCAGAATTGGAACCAAGGCATCGGAGCCAGGAATGGAAGAATTAGAGACAGGAACAAGGCATTAACAGCGGGAACTGAGCAGCAGAGATGGGTGGGGGGCTTAGGGATAGAAATGGTGCATCTTGGGGTACTGACCAGGGCAGTGCATGGCCGTGTTGCAGATGTGGGTCCGGGTGGCATCTCCGACACAGAAGGGGCCCCCGTGCTGGGGCACAGGGCGATCACATGTCCGTTGTTCCCGGGTCTGACCCAGGCCGCAGGTCACAGGGCAGGGGCTCACAGCACCCCATGGCCCCCAGCCACCAGCCACTGTTGGGGGAGACAGGAGTGAGGAGAAAGGCCACCTCAATCTCCCCCCTCAGCCCCTAGACCCTTGAGACGGACTGCCCCCAAACGAAGAGCTCCATGGTCACATGGTCTCAGATCGCTGTCCCTTGAAATGGCAGAGCATCTGTGCCTAAATCAAGAGCAGAGTGTCAGAGGCCTCATCCCCAAGTACCTGGGCAGGGTGGCAGGCCGGTGCAGGCCCGCTGCTCAGAGGATGACCCTGGGCAGGGATTCCCGGGAGGCTGCGTGGAGGGCTCAGGTGCAGAGCATGTGCGGCTTCGTCTCTCCTCAGCTGCCTTGGGTCCATTGTGGCAGGTGCCTGAGCAGGGGCCCCAGGGGCCCCAAGCAGCCCAGGCCCCGTGTGCTGTGATGGGGTGGGGGTGGGGAGATGCCAAGTGTGGGCATGCATGCTGAAGTCCTCCCACCCTGGAAGTTCCCTGCTGTAGCCCCCAGACCCACCCTGGGTGCCCACATCATTGCCCTGTGGTTGCCCTCACTCACTGGGGCAGACCTGTTTGGTGTCACAGGCCTCTGACTCCTGTGCCTCTCCTGGGCAGTGGCCCCCACACTTGGGGGTGGGGCGATCACATGCTCGACGACGAATCCGGGTCCCTTTAGAGCAGGTGACAGAGCAAGATGCCCAGGGCCCCCAGTTGGACCAACCGCCCATCTCTGTGGGAGAGAAAAGAGGGGGATAAGATGGAGGTGGTGGTGTCATTCAGGGGTCCAGGCTTCCTCATGTATCCCACATCAGCTAATCCTGTGCCCATTGTTTCTGCCACACCTGGACCACCATCATTGCTCATCTGGACAATTGCAGTAGGCTTCACAGTGGTCCCTTTGCTTCACTACTCACCACATACAGTCTGTCGTCCTGACAGCGAGAGGGATCTGTCACAACTCAAGTCAGATCATGTTTTTCCACCATCACTACATCACTCAGAGTAAAAGCCAACATCCTCACTGAGGCCCACAGGGATCAGTCCCCCTCTGACCTCACCTGCCACCACTCTCCTTCAGCCACGCCAGCCTCCTCCTCGACCTCACAAACGGGAAGCACACTCCCACCCTCAGGGCTTCTGCCCTGATAGTTCCCAGTGCCGGGTAACTGACAGCACTCGCCCGCCTTGCTGCTCCTTCTCACCAGGACAGCATGGCTTGTCCTCACACGCCTGCAGCTGCCACTGGAGGGTCCCAGGCTCCACCTTCTCGGGGCATTGCCCGCCCCAGCCTATGCAGCGCCGGTGCCGCAGCTGGGAGCCCTCCGTGCAGGTCACTGAGCAGGGGGCCCACTCGGACCACGGTGACCACTGTGGGAGCCTGCAGAGAGAAGCACATGTCCCATCCTGGCACGCTCTGACAAGGATGGTGTATGGGACCACAGAGTGTGGGTAGGCACAGACAGGGGTGCGGGATAAACGTATATGGAATGGAGTGATGAGAGTATCTACCTCTTCGTGATGTTGGGGAGGAGGTGGGCACACAGCAAATACTTAAATATCATTTACCTTCATGATCAGGAACCTGGAGTTACCCTTTGAAGTCCCCCAAGGACAGTGCCAGGCACACAGTAAACAAGTACAAGGACCAGGGGCCCAGAACTGCTGTCAGGAGCCTACCAGGCCACAGCCATGCACGGTAGCAGGCAAACAGGAAGTGCATAATAAATAGGAGCCATCATCCCAATGAGCTCAGAGACCCCATCAGAAATACCCCAGATCCAAGCCCCTGCACGGCATAATGCTAGACAGATGGGACCTGTTGACGACTAGGAGCCCAGAGCTGCCTTCAAAAATCCCCAAGCTCCCCATCCCCATGGTGTACCTGGGATATATATAGTAAAGAGTTAGAAAATATGTCTGACATACAGAGAGGGCTCAGTACACGTAAGCTGGCATCACGATTAGGAGACTAGAGTTACCCTCAGAAATCCTCTGGCTACCCCCAACCTCTGCAGTGCATCTGGTATGCTGGAAGTGCTCAATGAATATGAAGTGTCATTATAATTAGGGACCTGCAGCTGCCCTCAGAATTGCCCAAACATTCCCCCTCCAGCAATGTGTCTGTATACAGTAAGTGCTCCGTATGAGCTGTCATCACCATCTGGGGACTTGAGCTACCTTCAGAAATACCTGAGCTGCACCCCACCCACAATGCTTCTGGTATGCAGGAAGCGCTCAGTACATGTAAGCCATGGCAGTTCTCAACTCAGGATGATTTTTACCTGTCTGGAGACATTTTAGTTGTTCCAAGTTGCTACTGGCATCTAGTGGGAGGCCAGGGATGCTACAAAACATCCTGCAGGGCTTCCCTGGTGGCGCAGTGGTTGAGAATCTGCCTGCCAATGCAGGGGACACGGGTTCGAGCCCTGGTCTGGGAAGATCCCACATGCCGCAGAGCAACTAGGCCCGTGAGCCACAACTACTGAGCCTGCGCGTCTGGAGCCTGAGCTCCGCACCAAGAGAGGCCGCGATAGTGAGAGGCCCGCGCACCGCGATTAAGAGTGGCCCCCACTCGCCACAACTAGAGAAAGCCCTCACACAGAAACAAAGACCCAACACAGCCAAAAATAAATAAATAAATAAATAAAGGAGTTTCTTGAAAAGAAAAAAGAATTACATCTTAAAAAAAAAAAAATCCTGCAAAGCACAGGTCAGCCCTCACAACAAAGAATTTTCTGGCCCCAAATGTCAACAGAGCCAAGGCTGAGAGACCCGGAGCCATGGTCACGATCAGGGCCTTGGAGCCACGCTTGAGAATATCAGAGAAGGCCAGAGCCCAAGTTCTGGGTCGCCTGGCAGACAGTCCTTTCTGCCCCCCTCAAACCCCAGGCTCCCCCTAACCTGCACGCCATACAGAGCTTGCTGCCGGGCTCCTGAAAGGCGTAGTCAGCATTGAGACAGCAGTCTTCCGTGCTGACACCTCCCCCAAGGAGGCCCTTGCACTTGCCCGTGGATTCTTCATACTGGGTGAAGCAGAGTACAGAGTCTGAGCCTGTAACGGGTTGGGGGAGCACGGTCAGGGGTGTGGGGGGGCCCAGGCACCCCTGGGGGCCAGCCGGGCCCCCACCCACTCACCTGTGGCTGGCAGGGTGAGCAACAGCAGCGGCAGCGGTAGCAGCAGTAACCGATGGGCCTGCGCTCGGGTGGGCATGTTGGGCACTGTACTCCTGCAGCCCCGCCAGAAAGGAGGCCCGGCTTTATGTGGGCTTATCTGATCCTAGAGTCAGTGGGAAAGAGGAACCAGGGGCAGGAGGAACTAGGAGGGTGAAGGGCAGCGGTGGTGATGGGGGATGGCGGGGAGGGGAGGGTATCGTGCAGGTCTCTTCAGCTCCAACCTCTCCCTTGCCACCTCTGTCCCTGAGCTTCCTCCTCTCCTCTCCCCTCCCTACTTCCTGCCTCATGCTCGGTCTGTTTTGTTTGTCACTGTGTCCCCAGCACCCCAGGCCCCGCCTAGCAGCCCAGTGGCACTCAATCAATGCTCTTTGGACAAATTCTTACTGAGGGGGAAGTGAAGCCTGGAAGTTGGAAGCAAGATTGAACTCCCTCGCTGTGTGACAAGTCACTTGAACCTCTGAGCCTTAGTTTCTCCACCTGTAAAATGCACGCCCTCTACCACAATGACAGGGCCAACCTCACGGGGGTGTTGAACAAGGGTGAAGTGAGCGTGGCATGCTCAGCGTGTCCCTCCTTATGGGGTGGAGTGGGCATCGAGGTACCTACTTCATCCTCCATCCTGACTTCACCACCACCCTCCTCTTTCCTAAAAGTGAGGTTCTTTGTGGTCAGCAGTGTGGAGGGGAGGTCAGCACAAGGGAAGTGAGAAGGGGAAGTGGCAAGAGTATGGGGTGGAGAATTCAGAAGGACTGAACTGGATATATCCACTGCCCCAGGGGCCAGCTGGGGACACCCTCAGGGCCCGAGGAAGGGGATGGTTGGCTTGGCCATGTTCCATCAAGTATCTTGGGTAGGTAATACCTGCCACCCCGCCCCACCCCATACACAGCCTACATCATAGGGCATGTTGCAAAGATTGGGAGTTAAGATTTTTAAAAGTCCTTAGCCCAGTGCCTGGCATACAGCAGGTGCTGTTTGTTAAATACACTGATGCAACATCTACTGAGCAACTATTGGGTGCCAGTTGTTCTGGGCGTTGGCTGGAACAGACAAGAAGACAGCCCAAAATCCTGGCCCTCAAGGGATTTATGCTCTAAAAGAGGCAGACAATAAATGTCACCTCCCTCACAGAAGCCTTCCTCAGCTTTTTGTAGGGCACCTCTCATTCTCTATCCCAGTGGCTCTCAAACCCATATGTGTATCAGAATCATCTGGAAGGTTTGTTGAATCCTGACTGCCAGGCCCCACCCCAGTTTCTGATTCTGTAGGCCTGGGGTGGGGCTCAAGAATGTGAATTTCTAACAACGTCCCAGGTGACACTGATCCTGCTGGTCGGGGACCACACTTTAAGATCCATCATTCTAGTTCCTGACCCTTTACTTTTCTTTGTGGATCTCATGTAGAAAAATTATTCTTCATAATCCTTCTCTTAATAATTAATTCCAATGCAGCCCATTTTCCATGCTCCACAAAGCCTTTTTTGTTTTTTTTTAAGTAAGTCCTAATGAGTGAAATTCCAGAGCCTGCTTTAAAAACAGGAATCTTGGGCTTCCCTGGTGGCGCAGTGGTTGAGAGTCCGCCTGCCGATGCAGGGGACACGGGTTCGTGCCCTGGTCTGGGAGGATCCCACGTGCCGCAGAGCGGCTGGGCCCGTGAGCCATGGCCACTGAGCCTGCACGTCCAGAGACTGTGCTCCGCAACGGGAGAGGCCACAACAGTGAGAGGCCCGCGTACTGCAAAAAAAATAAAATAAAATAAAAACAGGAATCTTTTTAATCAACAAAAAGGAGTCTAAGAATTAGGAAGGCAATGTCTCATTTCCCCTGCATCCAAGGAGGAACACCATTCTGCAAATTAAAACAAGGTTGAAGGATTTGATTTGGTCAGGCATTAAAACAGAACTTTCTCAAGAATACTGGTCTTGCTTCATGGGTGATAAGGTGTGTTGACATTCATATCCGTTACAGATGTACTGTTTCCTGATAACATAAGCCTGTCTTTGAAAGTGTGCTTTGAACAAAGGGGTCTTGTTATGCTTCTAGGACTTCAGACATCAGTGCTGTTATCCTATGAAAACAGACTCCCCAAGAAACCTGTAATTCTGGTTGGCTGCTTTATCTAATCACCTGTTGCCCTGGTAATAATGTTATAATCGATACTTCCTTTGTTCCTAAACTGTATACCTACTCACTGGATTCCCTTGGGAAGAGGACTGTCACCACTTTCATCTTCTCCTACAAGTTTGGGCAATAAAATGACTGCAGAGTTCTTATTTAAACAAAGACTGAGTCTTACCTCATGTAATCATTGCAACACCACCTAATATGATGTATTTGTTTGTCTGTTGTCCTCACTAAAATGCCAGCTCCACAAAGGCAGGGATTTGTGTTTGGTTTGTTAACTGCTGTGTCTGGAGGTCCTGGATGGGCACCAGCAAACAGTAGGTGCTCAATAAACCTCTGCTGAATGAGTAAATAAATGCAATAAACAGAGCTTTAGAGATTCTGATAAGCGTGAAGATGAATAATCTGGATTGGAGGTAAAAATGCGAGCATCACGGCAGGGAGTAGTGTCTCAAGTGCCGGGACTGGACCAGACCACCTGGAGAGGGCTTGGCTCGTGAGAAGAGGGAAGGGAAGCCCAGGCAAAGCCCCGGCAAACTCCAGCATTTCACGTTTTGGAGAACTGGGAGAAGCCAGCCCAGGGGCCTGAGGAGGAAGAGGACAGATGGAAGAGGGCTTTCCCCTAGGCCTGGCACATTCCATCCATGGGCTCTCACACACGAATTCAGCCTCAGTCAGTTTCTCTTTTTCTTTTTTTTACATATTTACACACACACTTCTGAATTTACAGTCTCTCTCTACTATAGTCTCTTACGAACAAGCTTACATACATACTCAAATGCACAGCCTCTCCCAGCCACTCAGGGAGTCGTTTACTGTCATTGGCCCCCTGTCTTACTGTGGTCTCCTTTGGCCAAGACCACAGTTACCCTTAAGAGTCAGTTTTGCACATCCACACAGAGTCACGCTTTTTTTTTTTTTTTTTTTTTTTGCGGTATGCAGGCCTCTCACTGCTGTGGCCTCTCCCGTTGCGGAGCACAGGCTCCGGACGCGCAGGCTCAGTGGCCATGGCTCACGGGCCCAGCCGCTCTGCGGCACGTGGGATCTTCCCGGACCGGGGCACGGACACGTGTCCCCTGCATCGGCAGGCGGACTCTCAACCACTGCGCCACCAGGGAAGCCCCCAGAGTCACGCCTTTTGATAGGATGTTTCCACCGCTCACTCGGGCCGTCATTTTCTCACATACACAAATGGTTAGTGATTTATAGCCACCACTGGTCTCTCGGGAAGTTTCTCGCGCACATACCCACACCCACAATCACTCTTTCTCCCACCTCTTCACACTCACACCCATTCTGCACACCGAGTCACTATGCTAAGAGTTTCACACGCATACACAATCGCACAGCGTCTCAGACACTTAGTCGCCTAGTCTCACATTTCTTTGCAAGCAGCTTCCAACATGTCCAGTCCTTGCTCTACAGCCTTTAATAAAGTCTCTTGCAGTTTTACACAGACCCACACAGTTTCTCAGACACTCTCAGTCACTTGTTTTCTCACTCTCAGTCACCCAATCAGTGTCACGGTCACTTGCCCTCACTCAGCCTCTGACATCCTGTTGTCACTAATTCACCAATGTTACTAGGCTCTCAGTAAGTCTCACACACAGAGCCTCTCATGGCCCGTCTTAGTCGTTTACACCATCATCTGCTGCATCCAGCCAGCGTATTGTGTACCCTCAGACACAATTACAGCCTCATCGGTTTCTCACACACACTGATCACATGGTCTCTATGTCTCATTTACTCTGTTCCATTTTCTCTGTTTTTCACCAGCATGTAGTCTCTGGTTTACAGTCTCTCATGAAACGTTTCACATTCTCACATGCTGCTCAGTCATCAGTTTTCTCTCCGGCGGCACTGACTTCTTTTTTACTCATCGCCTCTCACTCACAGTGAGGTGGTCTCTAGCTCACTTTCACTCACTCACTCCGTCTCACCATCATTTTCTCTTACAGAGTCCCTGAACCTGTGGGCTAGACTGGAGTAGTAACTGCAAATCCATCTGCCACTAGGCTCAGGTATACACCCACACACGTACACACACAAATTACAGCCTCTCACGCTTTTCCAGTCGCGGCCACATTTTCTCAGTCTCTCATGCAGTCTTTGCTAGTTTAGTCTCGCAGGAATGGTTTTCATACACACAATTGCGTATTCTGGTATCTTTCGTCTCAGGCACCCATCTGGCCTCACAGACATTTTCTCTCATACCATCAACCTCTCACACATGCACTCCCATTACTTTAGTTGATCCAACAGCCTTGCATGAACAGTTTCATGCACAAGCCATCTACCAAACGCTGAGTCACCTGCTAACTTACAGTGAAGTTCCTTACCTACGCACGGTCCCTGATGATCTCTATGGCACTTTCATGCTCATACAGGCTCTCACACGTTGTTTTGGTTACTCAGTCTGTTTTGCCCACCATCAGCCTGTTCAACGGTGACTGATGTGCAGTCCCCACTTCCTTCTCATAAACATTATTTCACACACACCACCAGTTTCTTGTATAGTACCTTAATCACTCATTCAGTCTTACAGTGGTTTTCTGCCACCCAGCCATGATTTCTCACATAGGCACAATGTCAAGTTTGCGGTTACAACTTCCACTCTCAACACATGGCTTCACAAACGAACGTGCGCAATCACAGCTTTCCATAGTTTTCTCTTTTTCACACACCTGGTTGCCAATCTACAGTGTCTACCACTGTTTCGGACACACACCACTATGCTCTCTCGCTCTCACGATCAATCTCACACCCTCACCGCCTTTCACACAGAGTCACGCCTTTGCACACAGTTACTCCCAACGGCTTTAGGGGAAAAAAAATGCTAGCAGTCTCCAGCATCACCTTTAAAAATATATATTTACAGGAACAATTCCCCATTCTCTGGGACTCTTAGAAAAAA